GATTGTTAATTATAATTACATTTTAGATTATTTTGTAAATGACTTATGGGGCTGGGGGGCATGTCCGTATCAATGTCATTCACCAACTACTTATAATTAATTTCTGTCTTGTTGGATTCTATTTCATGAGTGAATTTCACGGTGAAGGGTCTCTTTCTTTTTTGCTTTGTCACATTAAATTGAAATGGGGTTCTACGTTTGACATAAAATGAATGAATCAAAAAATAGACATTTTGCGTACCCGTTGATGAAATTTCATTTTTTTATTTTTAGTCATGTGACTTTATTTAGGGCATTCGACAGGACATTTCTTGATTTAATAAATTTTCCTGTCGGTGTTTATTTTTATTAATTTGATATTTTGAAAATTTGTCGTCGTAGTACATTTGTGTATAGTCCATTTATGTATTACTTTCTATTTTTAAAGAGCATTTTTTACATCTTCAAGAATATAAAGGGTTGAGATTCCATTTTAAAACTTCAATCCTATTAAGAGAAGCAGTCAAAATTCTCATATATTGGTCTATATTTTTATCTTTATTTGATGTGTGATTTATCACTCAACATACTCTTGCAGATGGTGGCTCATTTGAGCAGATCAATTTTAAAATGCGCGTACTTTTTTTTTTGTAGTGTTAATAAGGTCGAATTGCTCATTTGAACTTAATGAGCTCTGATATCATATTCAAGCTTGGGGTGTACCACATAGGACAACTGCTGCAGTGAGCGACTGTAAATAACATTATTCTTTTATTTAAGGTCATCACCGTATTACAAATGGAAATAATATTCATTCTCAGCTCCAATGGGGCCTTATTGAGAAAATAACTAAAATACATGGGACTCATAATATGTCCTCTTCTTAAGAATTAACTGCTAAAATATATTTTCTTTTGTTAATTTTGTAGAAATTTCTTGAATGATTTATTTGTTTCTTTATATTCTCTTTTCTGTTGTGCAAATGTTTTTACAAATAAACTATAGTGCTTGATTAATGATTTTTTTGGAGATAATATACCATGTTAGATATCTGCGTAATGATTAAACTAAACCCTTTTGGATAGTGATTTTTTGGAGAATATCTGATAAAAAAGTAAGAATGAGTTTTAGGTTTAAGTACAAAATATTTTATTATATAAATGTGTGATTGAAAATGCGTATGAGAATTAAAGAATTTTAAAATAATGGTTATGCATTGGCTAAGTTACTTAACATTATCGACTGTTAGATACGATATTTACTAACAAAAATCTGTGTCGATTTTCACGCTTCACGTTATTTTATTAATAATGAAAATATTTAGACAAAATTATAGACGACTTTAAATTTATTAAAAATAAAACTTATATTGTTACGGTTGGCCATCGGTAAAGGAGAGAAAAGAACTAATACGTCACTCCCTAGTGGTTGTTTATAAATGTGCAAACGGTGTTCTACTTTGAAATCGATCAAATTGACTTGAACCGATACGGGTTGATTTTAATTAATGTCGGGTCAATTTCACCTAATCGGTAAACTCGATTTGATGGTCGGGTTGGGCCCGAACTAGACTTGTGTGGCGCATTAATCCATTGATAAATTAAAATTTTAATTCAAATATTAATACACTCCCTAATCTTCTAATGTCTTGAATTTATTGAAAATAAAACTTAATTTGTCAATATTAGCAAAAGCAAAACAATAGACTCTCAGACACAGTCAAATCAAGAGATGAAATAAATTATAAAAGAATAATTCGGGGATAAATAAGAATTAAATATAATTGATTTTACAATAAATCTGAATTAGCATTGAAAAATAGAGAGTGGATTATCAGGAAAATAAAAATCACCCATATTTAAAGAAAGCGTTTTTCTTTTCTTTTTTTCTTAGAAAAATATAGTTACAAGACCAAAAGTTGGAAAATATTTTTCGTGGAAAAAATTGTCAATCAAATACCAAAAAAGTAGGAATTTGAGTGAAAGATGACATTTTTCGTAAAAAATAAATACAAATAGACACACTCAAAATATAATCGCTTTCATCAAAGAATTTGAATTGGCGACAAGTTCTCTAACAAGTCAATGAGTAAATCTTAAGTAGAGTATAAAAACATTATGGGAGCCGCAATTTACATCCACGATTGTTATATATCTATCCCTATTAAAATATTTAAAATTTAAAAAATTATTATTTTCATCCACTTACATTTCAGTATTGCTCTTATTAAATTCATTCATTTAAACACTATAGATCCACACAAAGTTTATATATTCGTCCCACTCTAAATCCATCCCTAATACAATTTCATTTTTTTTATAAAAAAAATAAAATACTATGTTCATTTCCATTACATATAACATCAACATTTTCATAATTCAATAATTAATTCTATAGACCAAAGTTATAAGATGGGATTTCATAAACCATAAATCCCTATAAACACTACCACCCTCAATGACACATGAACTCTATTATTTTATTGAAACTGAACATAATAATTTGAAACGACTCATAGCATTTTTTGACATTTAAATCCACAGGTGAGTATTTCCAAGATTCTTTAATCCCACGTCTAATAAAGATGTAAACATAAACCAACTTATAAATGATTGAGTTACTCCTCGTAAAAGGTTGACCTTTTAAGATGGAACCTCAAATCTTAACATGATATCAGAGACCTTAAGTTTTAACGAGCAATTCGATCCGATTAAAACTCCAAAAGTGAGCATACGGATTTTTAGATTGGTTTGCTCAAACGAGTCAACATATTGTGGGGGCATGTTAAGGGATAGAATCTCATATCGAATAAAGATATAAACATAAACCAACTTATAAAGGATTGTGTTACTTCTCTTAATAATGCTGACATTTTAATATTGAACCCTAATTTTTAACACTAAGTGAGATGCCATCTTCTCGGTAATCTCGTCATGAAGTGGATTAATCAGTATCCATACGGACCATACCATGTTCCATGTTTTCAGAGTTCCCCATTTGATTGGGTTTACCACTACTGAGAATGCTGCTCTATCTAAAAGTATTAACTTTTCCATCTTCGACATTCATGGGACCTATAGGGATAGCATTTAAAACACTGCAATCAGGAGGCATTGATGGCTTTGTCCAGAACATTACTGAAGCAATGTTGGAGGTTCTGGTGCTGGCACCTGAGACTCGGGACTGCTTGTTGTCCTACCAGTAATTGGCATCCTTGATGCATCCTCGATCGAGTCTGATGATAATACTTTGCCGAAGATGTATTCTACTTTCACACCATCATCAGTATTATCCTTTTTTATGAGAATCAACACCTTGCAGACTGCCTGGACTCAAAGATCCGAGAAAATTTAATAAAAATATATTAGTTGATGAATTTACAGTGATATATTTTTATTTAATTTTGTATGTCTATTTAAGTAAATTTACCTAAGATTGAAAATATAATGTTGGGTTTGTGACCCAAATTTATCTAAAATTTGTGTGGTTTGGTGTATTGAGCCTTCAAGACGTTTAAATAGGATTCATGGAGAAAAAAAAGGAATTGACAGTGCTAAACCTATCGCTTGTTGGGCGCTCATGCAACGAGACGAAATTTTAGCAGAGGACCTCCGCTCGCCTACTGCTCGATTGGCCCTCGCTAGTTTCTCGAGCGTCACTGTTGTCCGGGTTTTCCTTATTTTGTTTATTCTGCTCATTTTTGACTCAATTTCCATCTTTAGGGCTATTATTAGGGTTTCATTGTACCCCTATAAATAGTAGATCTTCTTTACATGTTAAAATGATTACTGCAAGTTAGAATTGTATACGAAGTATAAAAAAAATATTTAGCAATAAGTCTTACTTAAATATGGTCAGTTTCATTTATCAATCTGGATTAGCAATGAACTCTCTAACGAAGTCAAAGCACAAGTCGTAAATAGAATATGTGAAATCATTTTTTAGCAATGAGCTATCTATTAAACGTGGTGGAAGCACGAGTTACAAATAGAGTGTAAAAATATTATTTAGCGATAAATCCAAATTAAATATAGTCTATTTTAACGATAAATCTGAATTAGCAGAGAAGTTTTTAACGTAGTATAAATATGAGTCATCAATAGGAAGTATATAAATATCATATGACGATAAGCTCAAATTAATTATAGTCAACATTAGATATAAATTTGAATTAATTATAGTAAGATTTTAAATTTATTAGACCATTAAAATTTTGTATTGGTTGGCAGAGAACACAAGACCTACATTAAATTACGGAAAATTAAAAGAGTAATGCTATTCATCCCCATTGGGGATGAAAACACAGTTTAGGTGGCGTTAATGTGGCATTAAATGATATGTGAGTTATTTAATTTCATCTTTTATTTAACCTATCATTTAAAATTACCTAAACTGTGTTTTCATTTCCACTGAAATGAATAACATTACTCAAATTAAAATGTAGTATAAAATGGTCATTTCTGTGTTATTGGTTCTCACATCTGAAGAGAGACTCCGATGTTGCTCTGGCACTTCTGAAACGCTGTCGTTTCAGAGTAGAAAATTTTGACTAAAAAGAGAGAGTGAATGTGCACATTCCCTGAATCAATAATAAAGGCAATGTTTTCGTATATTAACAGTTGTATTACTGTATAATCTGAATCTCATTTCAAGTTTAGTTTGTTGATGCTCAGATACGTAAAATTCTTGCATTTTAGGCTCTGCATGTATTGGCACACCTCCATAATTCAGCAATAAGCACACTGACTTGCCCTCAGATTCATTTGTATCGAAATATTTGGTGGGTTTTCAAAATTTTCATCTTTATTTTGAAGATTATGCATGAATTTATTATGATTTCCATTGCCGTCTTTGATATTAAATGTGGTGTTCTTTAATTTACATTAACAAGATTGTGCTTGTCTCTTTTTGATTGTATGCAGCATTAATTGAAAAGAAATAAAAGGTGGAGTAGAGATTACAGATAGATTAAACGGTTTTCGTGAATTAACCAGAGCCAGAAGAAGATTTGTGTTTGAAAGATGGAGGGGATGGTGGAGAAAAGTTTGGACTCGAAACTATGGCATGCTTGCGCCGGAGGAATGGTTCAAATGCCACTGGTGAACTCGAATGTATTCTATTTCCCACAAGGTCACGCAGAGCAGACACTCACTAATGCGGAATTCCCAGCCGTGCCAAGAATTCCACCTATGATTCTCTGCAGGGTTGCGGCTGTGCAATATTTGGCAGACCTTGAAACAGATGAAGTTTATGCCAAAATCAGACTGATCCCAGTTGTGAATAGTGATTATAGTTTCGATGATGATGTGGTGTTGGGAGGAAATAGGTCTGAATCAAATGAAAAGTCCACTTCTTTTGCAAAGACATTGACTCAATCTGATGCGAACAATGGTGGGGGTTTCTCTGTTCCGAGGTACTGTGCAGAGACCTTATTTCCACGGTTGGATTATTCGGCTGATCCACCTGTTCAGACTGTGATTGCTAAGGATGTTCATGGGAAGACTTGGAATTTTAGGCATATCTATAGGGGGACGCCGAGGAGGCATTTATTGACCACCGGGTGGAGTACTTTTGTGAATCAGAAGAAGCTAGTTGCAGGGGATTCAATTGTGTTTTTGAGGGGCGAAAATGGGGATCTCTGTGTTGGGATTCGAAGGGCGAAGAGGGATGGTGACATTTGTGGCGGCCATGAATCTTCATCAGGATGGAGTTCTGGTGGTGGTGCTGTGCACAGAAGCGGCAATAATGGGAGCCTAAGGGAGAGGAGCAAAGTGAAGCTTGAATCAGTTGTTGAGGCCACATTCCTTGCTGCCACTGGCCAACCTTTTGAGGTGGCTTATTACCCGCGTGCAAGCACACCAGAGTTCTGTGTAAAGGCTTCCTCCATTTGTGCAGCGATGAGGATCCAATGGTCTTCTGGGATGAGGTTCAAGATGGCTTTTGAAACCGAGGATTCTTCCCGGATCAGCTGGTTTATGGGTACTATAGCTTGCGCTCAGGTTGCTGATCCCGTTCGCTGGCCTAATTCAATGTGGCGGCTCCTTCAGGTACTTACAAAAGAGTCAAATCTCTGAAGTTAAAATTCTTGTAGTCTGTGAATTACCATGGTTTAAGGTGTGACGAAATAAATCTCTCTAATGGTTCTTTTTTGTTCCATTTCCATCTTAACAATGTTGGAGTTCACCAAGCTTGCTGTCTTCTTGTTTAAATTTTTATATTCAAGTATTAAATTCGTTGCACTTTTCTCTTTATCATTTTTTTATCCTTTCGAGAAAATTAGAAATATTTGGACCTGTTCTTCTCTTGCATCCTAGAACCAGTGGTTCTGATTGGAATGCCCACTTTTTTGTTGTTAAATTGACTGCTTGTGATTTGTTGGAGACCGATAGCATTGGATGGCCATTCCATAGTTCCTACCTTCTGCATTTTGTTCCCAGTATTTTGCATTGTTGTTTCAAATTTAATTTAGGAAATTGTTTCAGCTTATGTTTACTTTCCATTTGCTCTTACATATCTCACCATTTTGTATTGTAGGTTACATGGGATGAATCGGATATGATGCAAAATGTAAAACGTGTTAGTCCTTGGCTAGTCGAAATGGTCTCAAACATACCTGCCATTCATGTCTCGCCCTTCTCGCCACCACGAAAGAAGTTGCGTTTACCACATTATCCTGACTTTTCGCTTGATGGCCAGTTTTCAATGCCATCATTTACAGGCAACTCTCTTGGGTCAAGCAGTCGCTTATGTGGTATATCCGATAACATTGCTACAGGCATACAGGGAACTAGGCATACTCAAATTCGACTCCCGTTATCAGATCACCTCAACAATAAATTGCACCTGAGACTCTTACCACCCAGTATCTCGCAGCTTAAACCCCATGCTAAAATTTCTGATGGTACTGTCAGGAGCGATAATGATAATGAAGATATTTCTTGCTTGTTAAGCATGGGAGGTTCAAATCAGAAGTCCGCTAAAACTAATAACGTAATGACTCCTCAATTTGTACTATTTGGTCAACCAATACTCACTGAGCAACAAATGTCTCGTGACCCGGGGCACTGCAAAGTATTCTTGGAGTCAAAGGACGTGGGTCAGGATCTCCAACTATCCGTTCTTGAATCATATGAAGATCTATACAAAATGCTGGGAAACATGTTTGAGATTGAAAGATTAGATAGGCTGAGCCATGTGTTCTATCATGATGCAACTGGTGCCATTAAACAAATTGGAGAAGAACCATTCAGGTAAATCTCATCATTTTGTTACTTTTAACTTTCCATGTTTTATCTACGTCCAAAATTGCACGCTGGAAAGACAAGTAATCTTCAGGATTTGCTTATAATTGACCATTTTGTCCTATTTTCTAATCCTGTAGCGAGTTCACAAAGACGGCAAAAAGATTGACAATTCTAATGATTCCGGGCACTAGAAGTGTAGAAAGGTATACATCCTTGTTTTCATGCAATGTCGTTTTGCTTTTCAAGATTATGAACTCCTCAAATCTGTTGGTCTCGTAGATGATCATAATGAGAAATTTTCTCAATTTTTCCCCCAGAAAGAGTTCCCTTTTAATTAAAGCTCACTAATTTTGTATTTCAGAATTTTGATCACCGGACTACCAACCGCAGAACGAGGACTGGGTTCATCAAACCAGACGGGTACATTGGGCATATTTGCTTAGTACAAGCATTCATGTTGATGTGATAAAATGTTGACGAATTTCTGGTTTTTTTCCTTTATCTTTAGGAATTCAACTTTGAAAAATGTCTATGTATGTTTAGATGGTCTTTGTGTAACCGTTAATACTTCGATTGTACTAAGTTGGACCCTAATTTCTATTGAAGGGTTTCGATTAATGTGTATGCCATAGAGAATATTGGTGCCTAATTTGTAGCCAAAAGGCAAATAAAATTGTTTCCTAGAGAAAACGATCATTCCTTGTAGAAATTTACATACCACACCGAGCTAACAAGTAACCAATCTTACTGCATGTACATCTTTCTTTACATCTTGACTTATCGAATTTATATTTGGCATAATTTCAAGCCACTTTTTACATTTTACACATTTAATCCAGTCATCATCCATCTGCCACATCATTCGTCTGTAAAGAAAGTGGTACAAATGGCTTAACAAGTAACATGTGCGTGTGCGTGTCACATATTCTCTAATTATTCAATTTATTTTTTTAAAGAAAGACTCCTAGTTTTGAGTCTAGGATTGGGAAAATGTTGAACTCTTCATAACCTAAGATTAAGGTAAAGAAATGTGTCATTTTCGATCCATAAAGATAGACTTTGTTTCATTTTTCATCTGTCCCAAATTATATGCCCTTTTCCTCATTAAAAGTATATATATTTTTCTTAATCTGTATCAAAATAGAAACAAGCCTATTTTTATGGGATTGAGGTAGTGTAAAATAATTGTTGTTCATAAGATAGTGAGACTCGTGACTTGTTTGGTAACGAGTAATTCGATTCGCTTACCGACATGAGTGGTTGAGTATAGGGGTGGCAAGGATTGAAAATTCTCCAAAAAATATCAAATGGAGAGGCTGGTCTTGAAGGAAATTGAAAACATTTTGACAATCCCCACAACCTAAAAGTGATAAAAACCCATTAATGAATTTTGTGTAAAAAGTCTAAAGAAAACAACTAACCCCAACAATAATCTACACACACACACGTGAGGTGGGGAGTAAAGCAATGTGAAGTTTTTTCTATGAATTTGACAACCACTAATTGGACCTCACGTGTGCTTCACCCTCCCCGCCGCCCCGATGACCAAAATGTAAAAATCAATTGGCATTAATTAATACAAAATTAATGCCAACTTTGACCTAATTACTTCCTAATTAACACAACTATTAATCATAGTTACAATGTGATGTAGTGCTCAAGAGAGTATAAATAACAATACGATTCAACTAGAAAAATCGAGAACTCATTTGAAATTGAGTCGAATGTACGTCACAAATTTTTTAAAAAATAAATAAATTTTTTTTTTAAAATTTTAACCGTCTATGACCCTTTATTAATTATGTCAAATTTTCATGATCAATCTCAAGCACGCATTGTGTAAAATTTTACACGACTAATCTTAAAATTTAATATATCGTACATGTGTAAAGTGGGAAGTTTTTTTTTTCTCTTTTTCTTGATTATAATGTAACACAAGTCTATCACGACATGTAATAATTTCATATGTCCCATAATTAATCTCAAGACCCATATTGTGATTGCACCAAGGACAATAAGTTTATAGAGTAAAATTTCACATTACTAAATGTAAAATTAATAATTAAAATGCAAAAAAATAATAATAATAAAATAATTGGATCACTCTTTTTCTTAAAGCTTAATCTTTTAAATTTTTGTTTCAAGACTTAATATATTATTAGAGTATAAAAAGTTCAAACAAACAATTCAATTTTGATAAAATTCAAACCGTATGTAATTTATATTTTGAAATTTATATTTTATTATTTTACGAGAATATGCTAACAAAATGGTAAATATCACGAAGGATATACCGATAGCATCGTGACACTCACTCAAGATGAATTAAATCGAAGGAATATCAGAAACGCTAAAGAATTTTGACCTATTTAAATTTTAATATGAAGATTAAAGAATTTATCCTAATAAAAAAATTTATTAGAAGACTACATGACAACGATATAATAAAAATAAAAATAAAGCGATTTAATTGGTATCGTGTCACGATACACATATTATCAAAAATGAAAATTACCGTACTAAGACAGTAAATCAACCAAATATTTTCATTACTTTTGACCAAAATGTATAAGGTTGGATTTGGCTCAAGATCCCATGAATTCTACAATGGAAAAGAACTTGATACCCTGAAATTAAGTACGAAAATAACTACATTGTTTACTTTCTGTCAAAGGAAAGTAAGATACATTTTTATAAAGATCGCGAAAATTTATCACAAATTTAGACGTTTTCTATTATTAGAGGATTATTTATATATGTATAAATGAAAAGAGTAATGCTATTTATTTTCATTGGCGTTGAGTCTCAATTTATGTGGCAATTATATGACATTAAATGATAAACTCATTTAAATATAAGAGTAATGTTATTCATCCATAATGAGGTTACACACACATTCTAAGTAGCTGTGTTTGTAATCTCAATAAGGATGAATAACATCACTCTAAATATAAAATCACACGACTCATTTGATTGATTTTATCATTTAATGTCATATAATTGTCATATAAATTGAGGTTCAATCCCAGTGGAGATAGAATAGCATTGTTCAAATGAAAAAGTGGAATTTTCTACTACTCGCGTGACGGTCCAATAAGGCCATGGCTGCTAGGTTTCGTGGAAGCCAGCTGTTTTATAACTAATATATGAAACTCCGGATAATGTACAGCCAATAGAGAGTCACTAGATATGGAGTGGAGGAAACCACATGTCAGAATATCGTGCTTTTGGTAATACTTATTTTAGGCTTAAGCTATGGTTGACAATAATGAGTCAAGAATCTAGTGAGAGTTTTGGGCCCATCAGCCAATTATTCTGAGCATCAACATTGGCACGACGGAAAGCAGCCCATTTCACTGATTTGTAGTAAGTTGGCAATTATCTTCAGTCCATAGGTAATGAGATTTCGCTAATCGACACACCTAAGGCCAAGTTATTGTAAAGTGTTAGGTCCAAATTATATAGTTAGGAAATTGACAATTTACTTGGTCAAAATTTTGGTTTAGTTGAATTGTATTAGGAGTCTATCGTGTTATAATTAAAGTCAAGGTAGAAGTTATTGAGTCTTAGTTACATTAAAAGTAGTTTGGGATTGATATAGTCTAAAAAGAAGTCAAAAGAAATACAGGATCAAGATTTGTACTTCCAGAAGTAGAACAAGAAACGGACTCAGCATTGTTTGCTGTCCGCTCTATTAGTGCTCGAACGCTCAAAACAGAGTCGTCGTCGCTCTCTTGGCACCAATCCAGCTCTCGAACTACAATGAGGTCCGAGGAGAATCCCGATTCAATTTTAATGCTGATTTTTATTCCCTTTTCACCTCAAATACTACCAATTATAAATATACAGCCTATAGTCTATTCCAAAGCGTGTTGAATCATTATTTTGCCTTGGAGATCTAATTATTGAATATCATAAACATATTCCTTTGATTCTTACATTCAACACAATATTCATATATTCATTCTAAATATTGTTCTAACATTGGTTGAGCTTTGAATTAAGTCAAGAGAATATACTTTGAAATCCAAATCCATATTCCAGTATCTCTGGCCTCAAATAACATATCAAAACACAAAATGATCGTTGATTAAATATCAAAACAAAATCATACATTCGCCAATTAACCTTCATAGTTCTAGAGTTTTGGGAAAAGATGCTTGGAGTTCGAAGATCGAGAATGAGGTTCATTCTTTTTGATTCACACGGAGAGAAAAGTATATAAGAGTTTAGAGAAGTGCAAGAGTGCACAATCGAAAGAGTTCCATGGTGATTTAAAAATTAGGCAGCCAGAGTGAGTTGAAGTTTAGTAGTGTCGAACTAACTGTAAGTTAACATTTTTGAATAAAATTTTGAACCTCGTATATGAGTTAAGTATATGGGTTAGGTGGACAAATTTTTGAATGATTGGATATAAGTTAGGGGAAGTATATAATAATTTTCTCCATATTGATATTATGTTTGATTTGGTACCTTGTCTAATATCGATATCACGTTTTAAGTTGCTGATTCTACTTTATTACTTGTCAATTTTCTTTTGCTTTTCACATGTATTGTTGTTTTCATGTGTTTCAAGAAGCAGATTGACCATATGTTAAAGCAAATTTTGGACATTAAATTTTTGGGTAGATGTTTGTTTTGACTTTGATTTTGAAACTAATGATTTTGTCACAAAATGTCAAATGGTGAGATTATTAGGTCCAAATTATCGTCAATTTCCTTAGTCAAAATCTTGGTTTAGTTGAATTATATTAAAAGTCTATCGAGTTGTAATTAAAGATGTTATTGAGTCTTAGTTATAGTTAAAAAAAAGTTTGGAATTTATAGTCAAAAAAAAGTCAAAGAAATACAATATTCAGTCTTCAAGAAGTAGAGTAAGAAACAAACTCAGCACCACTCGCTGTCCGTCCTGTGGTGCTCGAGCGCTCAAAATAGGGTCGTCGCCACTCGTTCGGGGTAAGACGGCGCTTAAGCGTTGGACTACCACTCGCTTTGCTCCGGCCCAACGTTTAGGGACGTGACATCTGAGAAGAATCCTGATTCGATTTTAATGCTGCTTTTAAATCTCTTTTCACCCCCAAACACTATCTATTATAAATATACAGCCTATGGTCCATCCCAAAGTACGTTGAATCATTATTTTGCCTTAGAGATCTTATCATTGAAGATAATAAACACATTCCTATGAGTCTTAGATTCAACACAATATTCATATATTCATCTCTAACATTGTTCCAACATAGGTTGAGCCTTGAATTAAGTCGAGAGAACATACTTTGAAATCCAAATCCATATTCGAGCATCTCTTGCCTCAATCAACAGAATAAAACACAAAAAGATCGTTGATCAAACACTAAAACAAAATTCTACATTCGCCAATTATCCTTGAAAGATCTAGAGTTTTGGGAAGAGGCACTTGGAGTTTTGGCACTCGAGAATGAGG